GTGCAAGACACCCAAAAGTATGAAAAAAAAATTTTACCACGTGAAATATACATTTTCCTACACACAAAGAGAAGGATACATGCACAATAGTAGAGTAGTACATGCACAATATATATTGTGCATGTACTACTCTACTAAATGAAGAATAAATGACACTTACCTTTATTGAAGATGCAGCAATGACTGATGAGACACTGTGTCCTGGGAGTGCCTTTTCCTCCTGAGTACTGTAGGTCCTGTTTGGCATTTTCTTCCAGAACATGCCTTATCACACTGTGTATGTCACTACGATTCTTAAATCTCTCAAATCAACCTTTGCTGGCTTTAAATTCACCAATATGAGCACTAGTTCCAGGCATTTTTTCCTGTTCACCTGGGTGTTAGTCGACTGGTGTGGGTTGCATCCTGGGAGACAAGATTAAGGACCCCAATGGAAATAAGTTAGACAGTCTTCGATGACACTGACTTTTTTGGGTTATCCTGGGTGGCAAATCCTCTGGGGTTAATTGTTTCTTGGTATATTCTCAATAAGCCACACCAACAACAGTGCTACAGCAGCAGCAGACGATGCTACAGCAGCAGCAGCAGCAGATGATGCTACAGCAGCAGCAGACGATGCTACAGCAGCAGCAGACGATGCTACAGCAGCAGCAGACGATGCTACAGCAGCAGCAGCAGCTGACAGTGCTACAGCAGCAGCAGACGATGCTACAGCAGCAGCAGACGATGCTACAGCAGCAGCAGACGATGCTACAGCAGCAGCAAACGATGCTACAGCAGCAGCAGACGATGCTACAGCAGCAGCAGCAGCTGACAGTGCAGCAGCAGCAGCTGTACCACCAATAGTAGCGATGGTTGATTGGGGTTTATTATACAACCTGGCCAGCTCGGAGACACGCACTCCACTTTCATACTTATCAATGATCTTTTTCTTCATCTCTATAGTAATTCTCACTCTTATTGCTGTAGGGTTGGCACTAGAAGCTTTCTTGGGGCCCATGGTCACTTATTTTCCAGATAAAATCACCAAAAACACTGTAATAATACGAAATGTTACGATTGTATGCTTGGATGCTACCGCGGAGGCTGGCTGGTAAACAATGCCACCGGCGGAACATGTGAGGCTGGCTAAGGCGCACATTGGATGCGTCTCGGACGAACAGCGGTGAGCGGGTTTTTAAGCGGTATGCGAGGCAAAATTTTAGCGATAAAATGTATCGGTATGCAGATTAAATGTTATGTGATGCCAACGGTATGCGGGGGTCCACTGTACATATTTATGGGCTCTTTGCACGTACACCCAAATGTCGTTCACCTTTGTACAAACATTGTATCATGCTGAAATACAGTATTAATCTTATTATTATTATAAAGTCACTAATTGTCAAAACATATTTAGAATAAAGATAGCCAGGTGTTGCATGTGTCTTATTCATCAACTTTCAAGCCTAATTGCATTTATCTATTCTATGTGAGAGACTGTTTAATAATAATATTCAGTAATAAAGCTTCTCTTGCTTATGTGGGTTCACTTTATGCTATTATGCGATATCCCATTACCTTTGGTATTGCTTTAATCAGTCTTATTCATTTTATGCAATCTGTGCCGTTTTCAGAATGTATATTATACGTATATTAAATTGCAGAGGTTGGTGGATGAAGAAAATTAAAAGTGAATATAGGAAAGAGTAAGGTGTTGAGGATAACAAAGATTGGATATCAGATTGGAGGGAGAGAGTATGGAGGCAGTGAATGTATTCAGATATTTAGGAGTGGATGTGTCAGCAGATGGGTCTATGAAAGATGAGGTGAATTGTAGAATTGATGAGGGTAAAAAGGTGAGTGGTGCACTGAGAAGTCTGTGGAGACAAAGAACTTTGTCCATGGAAGCAAACAGGGGATTGTACAAGAGTATAGTTATACCAACGCTGTGAAGCATGGGTGGTGAATATTGCAACAAGGAAAAGGCTGGAAGCAGTGGTGATATCGGGTTTTGAAGGCAATGTGTGGTGTAAATATAATGCAGAGAATTCGTAGTTTGGAAATTAGGAGGAGGTGCAGGATTACCAAAACTATTATCCAGAGGGTTGAGGAGGGGTTGTTGAGGTGGGTTGGACATGTAGAGAGGGTGGAACAAAATAGAATGACTTCGAGAGTGTATAAATCTGTAGTGGAGGGAAGGTGGGGTAGAGGTCGGCCTAGGAAAGGTTGGAGGAAGGGGGTAAAGGAGGTTCTGTGTGCTAGGGGCTTGGACTTCCAGCAAATGTGCATGAGTGTGTTAGATAGGAGCAAATGGAGACAGATGGTTTTTAGGACTTGACATGCTGTTGGAGTGTGAGCAAGGTAACATTTATGAAGGGATTCAGGGAAACCGGCAGACCGAACTTGAGTCCTGGAGATGGGAAGTACAGTGTCTGCACTCTGAAGGAGGGGTGTTAATGTTGCACTTTTATAGCTGTAGTGTAAGCACGCCTCTGCCAAGACAGTGATGGAGTGAATATTGGTGAAAGTTTTTCTTTTTCGGGCCACCCTGCCTTGGTGGGAGACGGCTGATGTGTTAATAATAAAATAAAAATATTAGTGGCCTGATTGAATTTGCTACAGCTGTTATGGCATGGAAATCTTCAAATGCATAAAGCAGAAGAGACATGCATAATATTTCAGAGCCGGAGTTCTTAACCTTTTACAACTACAGACCCAAACTGGATTGCCCAGTATGTACCCATACCCCTTCACCAGACTGTGGAAATCACCACCAACACCAGTTGTATTAGGTTCTAGTATGACTTCAAAAGATGTCAGTAGCTTGGTTTTACTTTACATATTGATAGCAACAAAACAGCTGAGAGAAAATCATAAGAATTTTATCATATACATGTACAGTACATATTTTTTTTTTTTTTTTTTTTTTTTTTTTTCAACAAGTCGGCCGTCTCCCACCGAGGCAGGGTGACCCAAAAAAGAAAGAAAATCCCCAAAAAGAAAATACTTTCATCATCATTCAACACTTTCACCACACTCGCACATTATCACTGTTTTTGCAGAGGTGCTCAGAATACAACAGTCTAGAAGCATAAACATATAAAGATACACAACATATCCCTCCAAACTGCCAATATCCCAAACCCCTCCTTTAAAGTGCAGGCATTGTACTTCCCATTTCCAGGACTCAAGTCCGACTATATGAAAATAACCGGTTTCCCTGAATCCCTTCACTAAATATTACCCTGCTCACACTCCAACAGATCGTCAGGTCCCAAGTACCATTCGTCTCCATTCACTCCTATCTAACACGCTCACGCACGCTTGCTGGAAGTCCAAGCCCCTTACCCACAAAACCTCCTTTACCCCCTCTCTCCAACCCTTTCGAGGACGACCCCTACCCCGCCTTCCTTCCCCTATAGATTTATATGCTTTCCATGTCATTCTACTGTGATCCATTCTCTCTAAATGACCAAACCACCTCAACAACCCCTCTTCTGCCCTCTGACTAATACTTTTATTAACTCCACACCTTCTCCTAATTTCCACACTCCGAATTTTCTGCATAATATTTACACCACACATTGCCCTTAAACAGGACATCTCCGCTGCCTCCAACCGTCTCCTCGCTGCTGCATTTACCACCCAAGCTTCACACCCATATAAGAGTGTTGGTACTACTATACTTTCATACATTCCCTTCTTTGCCTCCATAGATAACGTTTTTTGACTCCACATATACCTCAACGCACCACTCACCTTTTTTCCCTCATCAATTCTATGATTAACCTCATCCTTCATAAATCCATCCGCCGACACGTCAACTCCCAAGTATCTGAAAACATTCACTTCTTCCATACTCCTCCTCCCCAATTTGATATCCAATTTTTCTTTATCTAAATCATTTGACACCCTCATCACCTTACTCTTTTCTATGTTCACTTTCAACTTTCTACCTTTACACACATTCCAAACTCATCCACTAACCTTTGCAATTTTTCTTTAGAATCTCCCATAAGCACAGTATCATCAGCAAAAAGTAACTGTGTCAATTCCCATTTTGAATTTGATTCCCCATAATTTAATCCCACCCCTCTCCCAAACACCCTAGCATTTACTTCCTTTACAACCCCATCTATAAATATATTAAACAACCATGGTGACATTACACATCCCTGTCTAAGACCTACTTTTACCGGGAAGTAGTCTCCCTCTCTTCTACACACCCTAACCTGAGCCTCACTATCCTCATAAAAACTCTTTACAGCATTTAATAACTTACCACCTATTCCATATACTTGCAACATCTGCCACATTGCTCCTCTATCCACTCTATCATATGCCTTTTCTAAATCCATAAATGCAATAAAAACTTCCCTATCTTTATCTAAATACTGTTCACATATATGCTTCAATGTAAACACCTGATCTACACATCCCCTACCCACTCTAAAACCTCCTTGCTCATCCGCAATCCTACATTCTGTCTTACCTCTAATTCTTTCAATTATAACCCTACCGTACACTTTTCCTGGTATACTCAGTAAGCTTATTCCTCTATAATTTTTACAGTCTCTTTTGTCCCCTTTCCCTTTATATAAAGGGACTATACATGCTCTCTGCCAATCCCTAGGTACCTTCCCCTCTTTCATACATTTATTAAACAAAAGTACCAACCACTCCAACACTATATCCCCCCCTGCTTTTAACATTTCTGTCATGATCCCATCAGTTCCAGCTGCTTTACCCCCTTTCATTTTACGTATATTTATTTATAGAAAAATGGTCTCCATATCCCCAAGGGGTATGGATACCCCAAGGGGTATGGATACCCCCAAGGGATATGGATACCCCCAAGGGGTATGGATAGCCCTAGTTAATAACTCCTGTTTTAGAAGGTAATGCTTGGTATAGCAAGTTGCTTCAGTATATTTCTGACTTTTTTTCCTTGTAGTTAATATGCTTGTTGAAGTTTTAATAAACTGTACAATACAGAGCGTTTGTATTTTCCCCCACAGGAATCTCCGAGACACTGATGTCTTCACCAAGTCTGACCCGGTTTGTGTGATATATTATCAGCCTTTCGGAGCTAAACAATGGGCAGAGTATAAACGAACTGAATGTGTTGAAAATACTCTCAATCCAGATTTTGCTACTAAAATCCCCATTACTTACCATTTTGAAGAGCAGCAGCATCTCAAATTTTTAATTTATGACATTGATTATAATTCTCCAAACCTTGACCTCCATGATTTTCTTGGAGAATTTGAATGCACTCTTGCTCATTTAGTTAGTTCTCAGAAAGTTCATAAACCTCTGGTTAATAAAAATTACAGTGGAGATAATGGCTCGATTGTGATTGTTACAGAAGAACTTAGTTCATGTAAAGAAGAGCTTGATGTTCAGTTTGTCGGAAAGAACCTTGAGAACAAGAGCTGGTTTAGTTCCATAAATCCTTTTTTAGAATTCTTAAAGGCAAATGAAGATGGAACGTTCACTCTGGTGTACCGCACCGACCGCGCTCGAAGCACACAGAACCCAGCCTGGAAGGAATTCTCAGTGCCTCTACGAACCTTCTGCAGTGGTGATTATGAGCGTAATATCCAGGTACACTGCAAAGACTACAAGCAGAATGGTAATCACAAGCTTATTGGCAGTTTTTACACTACAGTACGAAAACTGACTGAAGGCGGTCTGGGACCAAACAACACCTACTGGCTCATCAATGAAGAGAAGAAGGTAAATAATGTTGAAAGATTGTACAGTAATACCGTGTATAATGTGGTTCCGAGCAGTGCAGGTCTTGCTGTAGCACGATTTATAATTTTAAAAGTTTTTATCAATTAAAGCTTTTTAACAGTAGTATGATAGGTAACTTCATTTTGTTTATTACACATATGAGTATTTGTTTTTACACACAGTTATGAGTGGGAAGAGGAAATTCAGCAAATGGTTAACATTGGAACAATAACTTCAAATTATAAAGCATCATGAAGAAGGTGCATCATATGTTAAAATAACAACAAGTCTTCATAAGGAGGTAAAAGAAAATGGAGATGAAGGGGAAACTTTTTCTGCAAGCTGTGGATGGTTTTACGACTTTTAAAAACGTATGGGGCTCCATAACATTCATATTGTAGGTAAAAACTTTAGTGCCGATAATGATGATGCTGAAAATTTTCCTGAGTTAAAAGAAGTGATGGAGAAAGAAGGTACAGCGATGAACATTTTTTTAATGTCAACAAAACAGGTTTGCTTTGCAAGATGCCTTTGCATACAGCCTCTCGTCACTTAACTACGGAGTTTTGTTCCTAAGACCACGTCAGTAAATGAATTCATGGCTAAGTGAGGAGCATATTATAATGGTAGTGGGTTTGTGTCATCCATCTTTGATATTGTTTTAATGTCACTTTTACACCATATATAACATTTCTGGTATACAGTGGTACCCCGAGTTTCAAACTTTCTTCATTCCAGACGGCTGTTCAAGTGCTGTTACTGAATGAATTTATCCCCATAAGGAATACTGTAAATTAGATTAGTCCGTTTTGGACCCCAAAAATACACTTGCAAAAACACTGACAATAATACACTTACATAATTGGTAGAGTTGGGAGCAGTTTGGAACTCAGGGTACCACTGTATTTTTAAATGTTTAAACAGTAGTGTACTGCATATTGTAACAAACAGAATAGAGAAAATCAGCTCTAATACACATTATTTAGGTATGCATACTGGTCAGAGAGCCCATCGTAAATCTGAGTCATCGGTAAACGAGTACGTTGCTAAGTGAGGAGAGGCGGTATATATTTAACATGTTTTAAACAGCACAGTTTTATATAGCACAGAACTTTTTCAGCGCCTGTTAACCACGCTGTACTGTTCTCTCAGCTCTCTTATTGATTTCCTCTATAGTACTTTTGTAAATATGACTGAAAAACCTGCATCTAAAATTAACCCGTAAATGGTCCAAACGTATATATGTGCTTTTACCGCTTGCCCCAAACGTATAAATACGTTTTATTTGTCATACATTCAACATTGCCACAATAAGCCTGAGTCACCTAGACATGAGAAAATGGGTGTGCGCACTCACTGTGCGGAGAAAATGGGTGTACGCACTCACTGTGCGGAGAAAATGGGTGTACGCACTCACTGTGCGGAGAAAATGGGTGTACGCACTCACTGTGCGGAGAAAATGGGTGTACGCACTCACTGTGCGGAGAAAATGGGTGTACGCACTCACGGTGCGCTATATTAAAATAATTGGGGATGCCTGGGTACCATATGCTCTTTTTTCCTATTAAAAAAACTAATTTTTTTTTTTCCCAAAAAAAGTTGGGGCACTACGGGAGAGAACGTGTATATACGTTTGGACCGTCTACAGGTTAAATAGCATATATTATGAAAGTTTTTCATTTCCTATTTAATTTTGCATGCATTTTTTTATTACATTTGCAGAAAAATCGCTTACTGTACTGTTTACATCCATTAACCCTTTGACTGTTTTGGTCGTATATACAACCAAAACAGTCTTATGAGCCAGTATTTCGGACGTATATATACTCAATAATTCTAGCGGCTTCAAATCAAGCAGGAGAAAGCTGGTAGACCCACATGTGAGAGAATGGGTCTGTGTGGTCAGTGTGCACCACATAAAATAAAATCCTGCAGCACGCAGTGCATAATGAGAAATTTTTTTTTTTTTTTTTTGGATTAAAACACTGACTTTGAGGTGTATTTTCATATAGTATTTATCATTGTATTCTCGTTTTCATGGTCTCACATGATAAAATGGAAAACATATTACAGAAATAGAGATGATTTTGATTAGTTTCACGATGAAAATGACCTTGAAATTAAGCTCAAAGTAGCGGACATTTTCGATTTATACCAATGTTCAAGAGTAAGCAAATCACACCACACATCCAATACACGTCAACTGGGGAGTCTAATATTCTTTCACTAGTGCACTGATATCATACCATTTTTACAATAATGCAGTAGTCTGCATAACTGTAAATTTTGTATTTTTTGTATGAATAAAAAATCAAAATAGAAAGCAATAGTAATATAAGAGGGGCCTAGAGATGTGACTAATGAACAGAGGATATGTTATTTTAGTGCCAAGAATGTCTACATTGTTTATTCTGGACCCTATTTTGAAATTGGCATCTTTTTTAATTTGCGTGAAATTGGCCAAATTGCCAATTTCTGACCACTTTATTGGGTAGTTCGAATTGGTAAATGGGTGGTTTCTTGTACTCAGTTGATAGAAAAAAATGGAGTTCTAAAGAAATAGCCATGAGTTTGGTCAACTGGAACACCAGAATTGGCCAAAAACAGGGCTCAGATTCGGCGAAATCGCCGATGCGTATATGTCGCCGAGACTGCTGACTTCGCCAGAGCATAATTCCGTGAGTTTTCAACCAAATTTCGTACTTTTGGTGTCATTACCATTGGGAAAAGATTCTCTTTCATTTCATAAGAAAAAAATTATTTTTTTTCCAAAAATTTTGCAACATAGAATGACAGTTTCAGAAAGGGGACTGCTACAGTCAAAAGGTTAATACATTCACTTTTGAATTCTTCCTCAGTAAGCCATGCGTGTTGTAAGAGGCGACTAAAGTGCTGGGAGCAAGGGAAGGTGTGCCTCGCAGCACTATAAACTATTGTATAATTATAATATTACTATCAATAAAGGTTATCTACTTTTTTTTTTTTTTTTATTATCACACCGGCCGATTCCCACCAAGGCAGGGTGGCCCGAAAAAGAAAAACTTTCACCATCATTCACTCCATCACTGTCTTGCCAGAAGGGTGCTTTACACTACAGTTTTTAAACTGCAACATTAACACCCCTCCTTCAGAGTGCAGGCACTGTACTTCCCATCTCCAGGACTCAAGTCCGGCTTGCCGGTTTCCCTGAATCCCTTCATAAATGTTACTTTGCTCACACTCCAACAGCACGTCAAGTATTAAAAACCATTTGTCTCCATTCACTCCTATCAAACACGCTCACGCATGCCTGCTGGAAGTCCAAGCCCCTCGCACACAAAAACCTCCTTTACCCCCTCCTCCAACCCTTCCTAGGCCGACCCCTACCCCGCCTTTCTTCCACTACAGACTGATACACTCTTGAAGTCATTCTGTTTCGCTCCATTCTCTCTACATGTCCGAACCACCTCAACAACCCTTCCTCAGCCCTCTGGACAACAGTTTTGGTAATCCCGCACCTCCTCCTAACTTCCAAACTACGAATTCCTGCATTATATTCACACCACACATTGCCCTCAGACATGACATCTCCACTGCCTCCAGCCTTCTCCTCGCTGCAAACATTCATCACCCACGCTTCACACCCATATAAGAGCGTTGGTAAAACTATACTCTCATACATTCCCCTCTTTGCCTCCAAGGACAAAGTTCTTTGTCTCCACAGACTCCTAAGTGCCACCACTCACTCTTTTTCCCTCATCAATTCTATGATTCACCTCATCTTTCATAGACCCAATCCGCTGACACGTCCACTCCCAAATATCTGAATACGTTCACCTCCTCCATACTCTCTCCCTCCAATCTGATATTCAATCTTTCATCACTAATCTTTTTGTTATCCTCATAACCTTACTCTTTCCTGTATTCACCTTTAATTTTCTTCTTTTGCACACCCTACCAAATTCATCCACCAATCTCTGCAACTTCTCTTCAGAATCTCCCAAGAGCACAGTGTCATCAGCAAAGAGCAGCTGTGACAACTCCCACTTTGTGTGTGATTCTTTATCTTTTAACTCCACGCCTCTTGCCAAGACCCTCGCATTTACTTCTCTTACAACCCCATCTATAAATATATTAAACAACCACGGTGACATCACACATCCTTGTCTAAGGCCTACTTTTACTGGGAAAAAATTTCCCTCTTTCCTACATACTCTAACTTGAGCCTCACTATCCTCGTAAAAACTCTTCACTGCTTTCAGTAACCTACCTCCTACACCATACACTTGCAACATCTGCCACATTGCCCCCCTATCCACCCTGTCATACGCCTTTTCCAAATCCATAAATGCCACAAAGACCTCTTTAGCCTTATCTAAATACTGTTCACTTATATGTTTCACTGTAAACACCTGGTCCACACACCCCCTACCTTTCCTAAAGCCTCCTTGTTCATCTGCTATCCTATTCTCCGTCTTACTCTTAATTCTTTCAATTATAACTCTACCATACACTTTACCAGGTACACTCAACAGACTTATCCCCCTATAATTTTTGCACCTCTCTTTTATCCCCTTTGCCTTTATACAAAGGAAACTATGCATGCTCTCTGCCAATCCTAGGTACCTTACCCTCTTCCATACATTTATTAAATAATTGCACCAACCACTCCAAAACTATATCCCACCTGCTTTTAACATTTCTATCTTTATCCCATCAATCCCGGCTGCCTTACCCCCTTTCATTTTACCTACTGCCTCACGAACTTCCCCCACACTCACAACTGGCTCTTCCTCACTCCTACAAGATGTTATTCCTCCTTGCCCTATACACGAAATCACAGCTTCCCATCTTCATCAACATTTAACAATTCCTCAAATATTCCTTCCATCTTCCCAATACCTCTAACTCTCCATTTAATAACTCTCTCTCCTATTTTTAACTGACAAATCCATTTGTTCTCTAGGCTTTCTTAACTTGTTAATCTCACTCCAAAACTTTTTCTTATTTTCAACAAAATT